ATTCATTTATTACAACCAAATTTATGACAAAAAAATAATAATTTCGTGATCAGAGAATCTGTCCAACAGAGCAGCTGGTGTGAAAACTAAAGGGTTTGGGTGACGCTCTCCTTTAAAAGTTCTCCTCTCGGTGGAGGACTCACAGACCTGCTCTCAAACATTCAGTGTATTGATCTGAGAGTTTACCGGAAACGAAACAGGACGTAGACACGATGGAGGGATGGACCCTTCCGCTTTTTTTCCCCACAAGGAAGCTTCTGGAGACGGGGTCTGAAGTCACGTGGTGTCCTCGTCTCTGCTCGGTCACAAAGTCTCTTGTCCACGTCTGATTCTCGCTCTGTCCTGTTGGCGTCCACTTAAATGGTGGAGAGGAAAATTCTCAGAGGCCTTAAAACTCTCCCCAGTGGTTTTTCCAGAGAGAAAAGAGACGGAGGAATTCAAAACTTGGCCGATCTCACTGTCTCTCTGTGAGAAGAGGGAGATGGAGGGAAAACAAACCACTCGCTCCTGTTTCCAAACTTCTCCCTCTTCACCTCTTCTGCTCTTCTTCTCTTCTTCTTCTTTCTGTCTCTGTATCCGTGTCTTGGTCTGTGTTGCACCGTGGAGGCCAGCGGGGGGGCAGTGTTAGGACGCTTTGCCCAGCTCTATTTTCTTCTGGATGACACGAGCCGAGTGGTAGATGAGCGAGTCGATCAGGCCGGCCACTGCAGGACAGGAGGCGGGACACGCTGTCAGACTTCACACACTTCATTTTGGATTTTAAACCATTATATGTTAAATGAAATACACAGAGAGAGAGAGAGAGAGAGAGAGAGAGAGAGAGACTGACCTGTGAACACACCTCCGATGATGGCACAAACTCCTGTTAGGAAGTGAGTGAATGATCTGAGAGAGAGAGGAGAAGTATTTAGTTCTTCTTTCGTCTTTCACTGTGGGAACTAAAAATCTATTTAATAAGCATCATAGTATTTATAATCTGCATGTTCCACAACCACACACACATAAAATGATATTAATCAAAGTGATAACGATGCTCCATCACTGACGTCCCCCTGGTGTCTGTCCCCACCTGGTGTCTGTCCCCACCTGTGTTTCTCTGTGAATTTAACCATCATGGGCGACAGCTCGTACAAAACAAAGACGCCCGGCAGCCCCTGGTCTCCTATCAACCCGTTGGCCACTTTTTCGTGTCTGGTGACGGAGAACTGGTTTGTTTTTACCACCTGGAAAAAAAACAAAGAAAAATCCAGAAACACTGATTTTGGGAACAGCTACACACACGTGTGGGAACATGAAGTGTCTTCTCTTTGTCTTAACAACATAAACATGTTAAAGTAGAGAGATTAATAGGAGTGAAACTAAGAAAACTTCGGACTCACCTCTCCGTCTGTTTTCACGTAGATCGTGGGAACGATTTTCACAAAATACTGGTACATCATCGACGCTGCGGGACGAAAAAGATTAGACTAAGAGAAGAAAGTACAGTTTGTGTTTGTCTGTGATGAGATATTAAACTGAGCCGCTTAAGAAAAAGATTTTAACATTCATAGAGCGAGACAGAAGTCGCGGTGTATGAACGATAATAAATAAACAAGTATGACTTATTTTTGAGAGGTAGTATTTGATATTTTAACGCAAATAAGACTTTTTAAGGCCTAAAATTCCGAAATTAAAACACAGGAAGCGGAACTGGAAATAACAGAGTAAATAGTAAAATAAAGTAAATAGAGCGGGGGACTCTGACAGGGGGAGTCTGAATAAACCTGTTTTTAATGTCGGAATAAAACCTCAGTTAATTAAATCCGCTCTTTAATTAACTGAAGTATTTAATGATCCGCCAGGGCGGCGCTGTTGACTTTCTCCCCCAGCTCATTGCGCCCCTCTTTATCCGCCTCGTCGGTCCGTGTCCCTCTTCCTGTATCCGGTGATGGAGGTCTGCGGCCGGAAGGTCTAAACACGCAGCTGCGCTCAGACACAGGACGACGCGTCCAGCGAGGAACCAGGAGACCGGGCTCCGCTTGAACACGACACGTGAAGGTGAGACCGGATTCTGGAGAACGATCCGGACTAAACGTCGAGAGAAAGAAACGGACCGAGTGAAAACGCGTCGCGTTGACGAGTCAAGGCCACAGACGACGTTAGCCCCGAGTTAGCATGCTAAGCTAACACAACAAAACGACCCTGTTGGGTTTTTTTAGTTTTTTTTTTAAAGTGACTCACTTGTTAAATCTGATTAAAGTTTCGATGTTTTTGAATTTCAGCAGAAACACAAACACTCGTTGTTTGAGTTTTAAGTAAACCCGACTGGACACTGAAGGTTAGCACCAGTGTGCTAGCTAACGTTAGCCTAGCTTGTGTAGTCATAGTTATAACTCGTCTCACGCAAACAGAGATGAACCAGCAGCTTCAACACCACGTGTCTTCAGTGAAGACAAACACAAACAGACGAGTCATCATTAGTGAAGAGCTCTGATTTAAAATAATCTGATTCATGTATAATCTGTAAACGAAATGATAAATAACACCAAGAATAATTCAGACGAATCTTTGGTTTCATTCTCTGCTGTGATTGTTTTTTTTCCGGTTCGATCGATAGTTTTGAACATGAAACTGTAAATTAACTGTAGAAGTAGGTCCAGTGGAACTTCCTCCAAACCAAGGTGACCTCTTCAGATGATCAGCATCAATTCATTACATTCAGGACTCAATCATCGACTAATTTGAGTTTCTGAGAATGTCGACATGTTGAACTACTTCTCAAATCAACATTAGAAAATAATTCACACTATGGAAAGTGACTGAATCAAAAAAAAAAGTCAGTACAGATACTTGAGTACGAAGTTTATGTAACAGTTCCACAATCCTCCCACAATGCATTGCATTTGTGGAACGACTGTAGAAGCAGCCCACAGGAGAACAACAGTGGGTTTTACTTCATAACTGGCAGCAGCATTTTAAACATGCAGTTTTGTTCTTCCGTTAAAAGTGTTTATTTCGTCATTACGATGAGTAAATGTTACTACATTATTTACTGTGGTTGAAACAGTATTTGTATTCTTCAGTCCTGAAGACAACTAACAACTAACAAAACTACATTCATCAGTTGAAATAATATAAGTCTTGCAGCCAGATTTGACACAGAAGTCTTAAATCAGGTATTAAAACAGCAGCATCCAACTTCAGCTGTCATCACATCAGTAGTTGTGTTGTAGTAGAACGTACTCCTAAAGTTACCAACAACTGGAGGTCAGACACTCAACTCTCTGTTTCTAAAAAGTATTGACTAAACTTGTTTCATGTGTCACGACTCAGATGCCAGTGGCTGTCGGTCCGTACGGCCAGACCCAGCCCAGCTGTTTTGACCGGGTCAAGATGGGCTTCATGATGGGGTTCGCAGTTGGAATGGCTGCTGGCGCCATGTTCGGCACTTTCTCCTGTCTCAGGTAACTCTGAACCAAAGATATTCTGCTTTTATACAAACAACAACTTCATCTGTGGTCTCACTGAGAATGTGGACTTGTTTTTGAAGTTGTGATTAATATTCGCAGAATTTAACTTTTTCTTTTCCCACCAGCACATTGAGTCTTTATTATTTTCAGTGTATCAACGACCTTTTGGGGTTCTGACTCTTAAGCATCACTTTTCGATATCTCTTCCACAGATCTAATCTTAGAAATCCTGTTCCAATTGTGCAAAGACACATTTTAAGTTGTAAAACCAGAAGTTAGTGTGCATTACACCCTTGGATATAAAATTTGTAATCCATCAGTGTCATTGGCTGAGGAAGTGAACCTACAGATTGTTCGGTCTTGGTTGTTAAAGTTTAAGGAATAAAACATGAACCTGTTTCTAGCTAAATGTCGTGAGGATCAATGTCACGCCTGCCTGCTCTAACATCGATTAAATAAAAGCTGAAACCGTCTCTTCTGTGTCCAGGATCGGCATGCGTGGGAGAGAGCTGATGGGAGGAGTAGGAAAGACCATGATGCAGAGCGGCGGGACGTTCGGCACTTTTATGTCCATCGGTATGGGCATCCGCTGCTGAGGAGGACGAGGAGGAACGACCCCCTCATAACTATACAGCTATGGGACTTTTCAAAAACCTACATCCACCTCTCTCTGTCTGTCCGATGCTGTCACACTGTCCACCTGCCGTCTAGTTTTGTCAATAAACGTTCAGATTTGTCAAATGGGTTTTCTGAGTGTTTGGGTTATAATTTCCGACGCCGAGTGGATTTTATGTTGATGGAAAAACCCAGTTTATGTAACGTTGCAGTCTGTGGAATGACTCAACAATCTGTTTTACATATTAAAGGAAATTGTAATAGAGAAGAACCTTTCTCAGAGAGTGAGCCTCGGTCTTAAACCAAACACTAACTCGTAAAACTGCATTGCATTCTGGTCTGTTTGAGTGCAGATCCCATTCATTTAGGTCTGAGTTCTACATCCAACATAACAGCTGCTGTTAAACAGCAACTTATTGTGTTGAGACGAGTTTAAGTCAGCCTCAGCTGCTTTTATATCTTTCGCTACAAAATTGGAAACAATGGATAAACTTGAAAAGTTCACGCATGAAAATAATGGAGGTGATTTAGTGCAAAATAAACTAACAACATTGTCCAAACACTGAATCTAAACTGTTTTGTGTTATTCCAACCAAAATCTGTAAAAGAGTAGAAAGTTTAAACTCCTGACCTTGTGGCGCTGTGACGTCTGTCTCGTCCAGAGGGTTGACGATGCCGGGGTAGTCTTTACCAAACGACAGGTGTTTTATCAGATGGGTCATGTTTATCTGCAGGACGACATCAATAAATATCTAACATTAATCCTCCATTTTAAAAAGGTCTTCCACAGTTTCCTTGTTTTTCTGAAAGATCATCAACTGACTGAAGAGGCTTAAATTATAAAATATTACAAAGAGAAAAGTAACGAGAAGTATTTATACAATATCACGGTATGTGGTTTCAACCATAACCTCACAGTCAATGCACATTTTGGGTCGTAATCTTTCCACCAGGAACATGTAGCAGAGAAAACAATCTTAAAAATAACGACATTGTTTTTAGATACCAAGAAGAGGAAAGAAAAAACATTATCACATGCATCACTTACGTTGTCTAAGCCGAAACTCTGCAGGTCGTGTACTGCAATCAAGACACAACACATCACATTTATTCAAATTGTTAATTACAAACACTAAAGATATAGTGGACGTTACTTCAGGTGCAGACGTGTCAGGAATGTGAATCCTTATTCGGGCTGTGTTTGATCACTGTCCTCGTGACATCCATTAGTTTGCAGAGGAAGTAAATAAAGCTGAAGGCAACAGTCACACGCAGGAATCACAGTTAGTAACTACTCTAAGAGAAAACTTGTTCTACTGTGTTGAATTTTAAAAATCTGATGATTCTTGTTGCTCAGTGTAGAAGCTAAAGGTGACACTCTCAATGTAAAGCAGTAGTTTTATTACAGTTTTACATGATTCACTCGAAACAGAATGACGTCAGTATGCTGGTATTTTATCTGAGTAACTAGCAGCAGCTGTGTGAACTATGTTAGAGGCTGTGATCGTTTCCAGTTTGTTCTCTAAAACCTGACTGACTGCAGATAAACACTGAGTCATAAGGGCATCAACTCAAGTCTGCTGAGGAGGTCGGAGGTTTACTAACTTCACACCTTCACCGTCTGTCCTGTTTGTTCATATGTGGGGAGAGAACTACGAGTACACGATGAGGAAGATAAAAACGAAAGTCAATTATAAAGAAGCGTTTCAACTGAGACACAAACGCAGGTTCGTGGACCCGTTCAGGCTCAATCTGATTAAATTCATCTGACATTAAAACACGTCCGCACTGTAACTGGGACAATGACCGAAACAAGAAGTTTAAAGAAGCAGAACCAACATTGGTATATTCCTGGGTAGTAAACACTGGTTATAAATAGAGTTTCTTTCCTCTGGTGTTTTCATAGGTTTTATGTGAATGAAAGTTAAAAAGCCAAAGGGAGCTCCTTCCTCTGTCAACAGAAAACCATGAAGCTCCTTGTCAGTCGTCTGGCTGATAGTTCTGCATCATCATGATGTAAAAGTGAGAGCGGAGGCCGACATTTACACAACGCAAAGACTTAACCTATAACTCATCCAGGAGAAACTTACAACGATACAAATGGTTGTAAACTTAGAAGTCGTTCTACACAACATTAGTTTAAAACCATCAGTTTGCCTTCATACTAAACATTTTTAAAAATCCAGTCCTTCAGCATAAATAACTTCAACGTTAAGATGTTTACATTTTATGCGTACAAAGTCAGCTGCTGCAGTAAAATCTACAGTACAGAAAGGTGTGTATTTGCAGTACTTGTCCACAGATCAACAAGCAGGTCACTACACCAGAATGAGACTTTTCAATAAAAACAAATATGAAAATCTGCAAAGAAAGATGGACTTACTTTCCACAGCGTGCACTGCAGAAAGAAGAGAGAAGAGTCACTATAATGACGCAGGTAGACAACAAACCACATGATGTTCATGTGTGTGAAGGGCTGCACTACTCTGACTACACGTTTTCTATGTTACGCATGCTCAATACTAAATCTATGAAGACATGAAGAGTGATGCAGGACGACACTACACTTGTAAAACTTACCTCAGAGGTAACAATAACTTTCTCAGTGGTTTCACAGTGTTGGAAGCTTGAATCAGGACGGTTTGATTTATACGCCCGTGATTTAACTTTAATCACACGAGAAAATCTCATCGAGCGGGATTATGTTTTCACTCTATTTTGTCAGAGTAATCATGCAGCCCTGAACACAGAGGGTTGGGGGGTTTAACACTTGATATCCAGTCCAGGCTAAACAGGGTTTAGGACCAAATCCTCAGCCAGGGTGATTCTTGTCTCTTGTTTCTGAGTTTGCTGAGTTTTCAAACATCACATCAATCAAAATAAATTCAGATTCACTGATCACTCACAGAAATCACAGGATGATGTTGTGTTCACGGAACTTGAAAATTGCTTTTTAGCATCACACTTTTAAATTGTGGCACTTTTTAAATTGAAGCAGTCGTGAGTTCAGATTTATTTCCTCCACCAAGCAGGTCGTGTTTTCATCCCTGTCCGTTTGTTTGTCATCAGGATTCCGCAAATCTACCGAACTTAACAAGAGAATAATAAAAGTATCTTGATGTAAAGATATCAGGTGGCTTGATTGAATTTAACAGGACTGGTGGGTCTTGGTGGAGTTATGCGTTCTGCTGAGTGCTGCTCTAGTTTGTCTGTTCATTTCCTGTCCTCTACTTTATTTAGCGAACAGGAGAGCGGGACATTAAGCAGACACACAAACAGAACAGTCGAGACTAAATCACACAATGATGACAGAGTAAGAATCAACAACAGCAGTGAGAGGAAGAAACTAAAGGGATGGAATACAAATTAAAAAACGCAGAGAAAAGGTAAATTGAGGGTTTCTGAGCGAGCAACACAAACCATCATGTACTTCGCTGGAGGTGGAGAGGAACAGGGGAAATACGACCAGAGCAGCTCATCACGGCACAAACCAAGACAAATGTGTTTGTTTCTTTTTTTGAAGATTGTCGTTCAACATGTTTTTAACCAGAAGCATTAATTCTACATGTAGAACAAACATTTAAAATGTGATACGTCATAATCCTGCGACAATGACTTCATCACCAGCGCAGGGACGATGCACAGAGTGCGTTTGTTTACCCTCTATAGTAAAGTAGGGGTTAGTGAATGAGTGGGTGAATTCAGACACAGCCTTTCATTACTGTTGGTAACAGACTTCCTGGTTGGTTAACGATAAGATGGCTGACACGTCGACGTCGAGGGTGCGAATCAGAAAATATGAGAAAAAGGTTTCACACTTCAGATGGATTTGTATTTGTGTGTTCAGGAGTAACAGCATCGCTGCGGAACCTATGATCTGATCCTAAAGGTCACTACAAGTCGGGGCTACAGGAAACAACGAATAGAGAGAGCTGTGGTTGATCAGCTGCAGATCTCTGACGCCATGCTGCAGAAAGCGGAGGGTGTTCAGAAATCTTTGATTGGTTAGTTCGTGTGTGTGTGTATGAAGAGAGGGAACGGGCTGCAGGTCTTACCGTGGACGTGCGACTGCTGGAAACTTTTTCCTGGAGCAAAGTGGAAATTTCCTGCCACCTAGAGGAGAGAGAGTAAAAACAAATGATGTAAGTGTAAAAAAGGAATAATAAACACAGAATCATTAAAGTATTACTGTAAAGACAGTTCTCTGTCGTCGATACTACACACTGCAGTGACATTACACTGTACATAATATCACTGCATCAGGCGTACAACGCGATTACTTATAATTGGAGCAGGTGCTGAAGGAAAGAACATCTTAAAATCTCTTTCGCTTGTTTTCTACTCACAAAGTTTTTCTGAACTAATAATCAAAAATAAGGAATCGCACCTTGTTGACCTCCAGGAAGCCATAAACCTGGCAGCCTTCATTCTTCTGCTCCTGCATCTTCTGAGTGAAGCCCTCCCTCTTACACTGCTCGATGGTGTCAGCGTTTTTAAATGCCCAGCCTCGCCGCCTGTAGGCCTCCCGCACGTCATCACAGGTGTTACAGCATCTGCGCGCACACACACACACACACACACACACACACACACACAGGGCAGAAACAAAGGCAGGTAAAAACAGGGTTACAGAGAAAACACAAAGACAGAGCGTGTCTGTGCGTCGGCGTCTTACTTGAGGTCTTCGGTCTCGGCTCCGTAACAGCTCTCACACCTGTTGGGGTCCAGTGTGCTCGGGTCAAACACTTCGCCATCGTCAGCCTTACCCAGTTCTACACAGAAACACAAAATCCCCATCATCAGTGTGATTATTGCGATTACCAACCCATATTTAACTTGAGCAGTGTGAAGTCAAAACGTCACCGTGTTTATCCGCCTCTGTGGTGACAGGTTTGAGATCGATATCCAGCCGCTGTTTGAACAGATTGTGTTCGACGTCCAACTGCTGCTCACCAGCCACGTCCATCGCATCTATACTGAGATCTGAGGGAGCGAGACCAAAACGAATGAAGGAGGACGGAGGGTCGTTTATTTTTTATTTTTTTTCAACAATGTGATGTCATCAACGTGACAGATCCACCAGCTACAGCAGCGGTACTCACAGGCGCAGGGCATGTGAGGGAAAATGACGTCAATGTTGATTTGGAGTTTGTCTCCTCGTGACGTGTCGACGTAAAGCTCGGGGTGAACCTGCAGGAAACAAGAGCTGACACTGACGCACGGAGCATTTCACAGAGGAGATTTACTGTGAGTGCACGATAAATCTTTCCTTGAGTGATAGAAAATATACTTGCACTACATCCCATCGGTCAACATCAGCTTTGTAAATTGCCGCACTTGGTTTTTATTATCTGAGTTTACAAAATGTTTTAATTTCTGGGAAACAGGAACATTCGCAATGAATATGTTACAATTCAATGCAAATGAATCTTTCGGACTTATCGTCAGGATTAATAACAGCGTCTGCTCCTGACTTCACGGTCACATGTCTCGACTGTGAAACTTCTGTGAGCAGAGGATGATTTTCACCGCGACTCATCAGACCGGTCCGACGGGAAACGTCTCTGGGCTGAAAGATGGTTAATGTTACCTGAAGTCAGCCCCTCCACTAAGAAGCTTATTTTTCCACACCCGCCTGTTTGCTTGTTGTTCAGGAGGATTTCACAAAAACTACTAAACGGATAAACTTCGAAGAGATCCAGAAATTGTTCTATGTTTTTTTATCATGAGGGTTCGATAACGACATCTTTGGAATAACTGCCAAAATGTTTTCAGCCGATACTGGATTTTAATATCAGCAATGGTCCAAAACATTTCATATCAGTCAGGCTCTAGTTTCAGTTTTGAAGCCACATGGAGAATCTCCTTCACCTGTAGCTTTGCAGATAATGAGGGTGAACTTACCTCTTTAGTGAGGTAGTACTGCAGCTCGGAGACGAACAGGATCAACATGATGATGCCGCTGATGATGGTCACTGCAGAGACACAGAGACGGTGTTCGTAAATCCCAGCTCCAACTCAGAGATTAAAGCAAACGCACTTCAGATAATCTCATTTCTGTTTATTTATTTTATGTAGAAGGTGTTTCTATCACTACAACGGAATAAATATCCAGTGTCCGACAGGAGCAGTTCCTCAACTAGCCAGTGTTCTCATCTAGAAATGATAATTACATAATTACATGAACACATTTCACACGATTTTCACTTGTATGTGTATCTAAACATGGAGAAGAAGAGTTCTGTGTCAATTCTCCACATACTGCACGTGAAACGAGCTCCGAGAGAACTGTCCATCTACTGCGACCCTCGGGTCTTTTAAACCAATTACCTCTTTGCCACGACCTTTAGTTTAATCAAATAATGACTCATTTCTAACACTGCAACTCTTTTTGAGTATTTTTATTTTTAATTATACATTTATTTTACAAATTTTATTTATAAAGCATCTTGTTGAATTCTCTCAAGTAGATTTTCTCAGCCTTGATGCCCTGACAATCTTACGTACCGCCTTTTAAATCGCTGTTGAATTAACTTCACTTGAATATTAATAAACGAGCTTCCTCCTCAGACGTCTTGGACCTGCACCAGTTTTAGTACATTCTCATTAACAATGAATCACAATGAATGTAAGAAATAATGAATCACAGTGAATTATAATTCCTATTTATCATTTTATCTAAGAACTGACCGTGATAATTACAAATTGCTGGTTATAGTTTCCCACATTTACCAGTTTGTCTGCTGAAGAATTATTCAGTTAGA